CCCAGCTATTTTTTGGTTGCAGCCGTCATTGTTGTTTGGCAGGCCAGGCTGGATTTGAACCCGCCAGCTCAGGTGTATGTGTATGTGGCTGGCACCCTAGCTGCTTGAGTCACAGGCGCCGAGCCATATTGTAGAATCTTAAAATAAACTATTTTTAATATTTGTGTCCTCCCGTCCCCAAATTCCTATGTTGTGTTCTCTTATGCAATAGTATTAAGAGGTAGGAACTTCAAGTCACGAAAATGGAGGACTCATAAATGGGATTGGCACTTTATTTGAGAGGTCCAGGGAAGCCTGTTTGCCCTTCTGCCATGTGAGGTTACAGTGAAAAGACACCTGTTTTTGAAGATGCTGGGCCCCCACCAGAATCTGATCATGCTGGCATCCTGATCTTGGATTTAGCAGCCTCCAAGACTTTTAAGAAATAAATTTCTTTGGTTTATATGCTACCCAGAAGCCAGAAGAGACTAAGACATCTATCAACAGCTGCGCCCACATACATACTCTACCTTCTTACATGCTACATGTGGACTATCTAAACTCCCATGGTGAAGGCCGTGCCTCTACTTGTGCACATACTTCACACCACAGTTTTACTCCAGCATTTTCTCCTCTCTGTCCTCCATTAATTTTCCTCTATTTACTGGATGTTTCCTATATAACACCTGGTTAACTCTCTTCCATAAAAACGAAAAAACAAAAAACAAACAAACAAAAAAACAGAACAACACTACCTGTCCTACCTCCTCTGCCAGGTACTATATTTCTCTGCAATAAAACTTGAGTTTTCTAATACGTGGTGTCCCCAGTCCTCTCCTTACATTTTCACTTAAGTCCATTCCAGCTAGGTGAAAGCCATCCCATTAAGATTGCTTTTAAATAGCTGAGCGTTGTGGCGGGCACCTATAGTCCCAGCTACTCAGGAGGCTGAGGCAAGAGAATCACCTAAGCCCAGGAGTTGGAGGTAGCTGTGAGCTGTGACTCCAAAGCACTCTACTGAGGGCGATAATGTGAGGCTCTGTCTCTACAAAAAAAAAAAAAAAGAAAGAAAAACAAAGAAAAATATTGAACTAAATAACTATCTAAGGGGGGATTACACACTTCATGTGGGCTGCCTCTTAGACAATCTCTTCCACCTGAAACCTTCTGGCAGTGGCAGATCCACAGGAGGTGCCCAGAGGAAGCTAAGGGCTGATCATTTTTCCATCAGAGGCCTCCGTGGCACACAGGGTGCAAAATGTGGTCTGTGAACTGGAGGCAGGAGAGCATGGTGGCTGACAGACCTGGCTTGGAGGTCAAGTCCTAGCTTAACACTACCAACCAGGCAGTCTTGGGAAAATTATGAGAATCCTCTGAGCATTAATTTTTCCTTGTACAGAAAGAGAAGGATTACAGCTTCTTGTTTCCAGGGCTGGGGCTGGGACTAAACAAATGTCCACAAAGTCTCAGCAAGCACAGTGCCTGAGATGTGGGTACACAGAGGCAAATTGATGTATGGCCACATACGTGGCTTTGTCTCCTTCAAGTTCACAATGTGCTCGTATACACATGCTTTAGCTGACATTAGCCTTTCAAACTCTCAGTTTTATCAGCATTTTAAAAGTGAGGAAACTGGGTCAAAGGGTAAAGAGCATGCCCGCAGAACACAACTGTATCTGACTGGAGCTCTGACGTCCTTTCTTCCAGAACACAAGCTATTCTTACTTCTGTTCCTCACCAAAATGATTTATTTTTGTTTTGTTTTGAGACAGAATCTCACTTTATCACCCTGGGGTAGTGCAATGGTGTCATCCTAGCTCACAGCAACCTCAAACTCTAGGGCTCAAGGGCTCATCATGCCTCAGCTTCCCAAGCAGCTGGGACTACAGGAACCCGCCAAAATGCCCAGCTAATTTTTCTATTTTAGTAGAGACAGGGTCTCACTCTTGCTCAGGCTGGTCTCAAACTCCTGAGCTCAAGCAATCCCCTCACCTCTGCCTCCTAGAGTGCTAGGATTATAGGCATGAGCCACCATGCCTGGCTTCATAGAGATGATTTGGATGGCTCCCCGGAGCTCCAGACACTGAAGTGTGTGCCTAGTAAGGCTGTGGGTAGCAAATGAATTCAGAAACAAAATCAGCCAGTGAGCCACCCACTCATATCAGGTGATGGAGGCAGGGAGTGCCTGGGTTCCTTGTCTGTAGCCCTGTCTCTGGATGATGCTTGACACCAAGTCCAAACAGGTCAATCATCTCTCAGAGTCCCCCTAGGATTTAAAACATTTCACTCTTCCCAGGAGGGGAAAATGCAAAAGCACTTTCTACACAGTTTCTCCTATATAGGAGAAATGCCGACTTTGTTAAGGGCCTTAGAATCCCACAATCTTTGACCTCTAACCCAGCCTGCTCCTACAAAGCACTAAGGCAGAAGCCCTGCATGGAGCGCTGGGCCTGGCTCTCAGCAGAGACTCTGCCACCTTTCCAGGTTCAAAGTCTGAGGGAGGTCACATGGCAGGGGAAAGAGCCACAGGAGTCAGACATGGAATTTTAGAACCACAAGGTCCAAAAATCACGAGTTCTCAGGAGTCATGGATCATTAAAACTGCAGCATCTGGGAGACAAAGAAACTCCTGACTTCTAACACTTTAAGCCTCATAGCATTGGCAGGGATTGTACTGGATGGAGCAAAGGTTGCTTCCAACTGGGAATTCCGGTGGTTCCTGGGCATCTTCTATGTGGTCTTCTACTTTGCAAACACCCTCCTTGTGAGAATATGGGTCTGAGGGCTCCAGCTGCAGGCGAGAGAAAAGGCTTGGGATACCAACCAGGCCCCTAGAGGCGAGAGATCGGAAGGGAAGAGGACAGCCTGCAGAAGGATCCTGACAGGCCAGCAAGCCCAAATCCCCAGTGGTGCATTCTGTGACTCTGATGGTGCCAGGTTTGTGGTGGCTACCAACCAACAGAGACTCTGAAAGCAATGCCATTGTCATCTTGCTTGATGGTACGTGCTCCGTGCAGGGAATGTGCTGTGTGACTGGTACCCAGCGGCCCTTCGGCACTGTACAGCATCATGATCCATAACTTTCCCTTGCATAGTGTTCACAACAGAGGAGAGTGTTCATGTCCCAAGTCCCAGAAATGGCCTAGGAAGAGGGACAACCACAGCTCTGGCCAGGCAGTAGGGATGGGTCCTGAAGGCCACTTTGGGGGACACCTAGAAAAGCAGCCAGTAGACCCACCCTAGCTCTGGCCCCACATTTAGTTAAGGTCACTTCAGGGACCTACAGTAATGGGTTTTACTGATTTTTAAAAATGAGGGAGAGTTCTAGGATAGTCATGATCTTGTATCAAAACTATAAAAATATCTACATATACAAAAAAATCTCTCTGGACAGAGTTCAGCATCCCAGGCTGTCCAGAGCAGGGCAGACCAGAAGACAGAGGTTGGAATGCTTTGCTGATGAGAAATCCCCAGGATAAACAGCAGGAAGCAATCTTATTCCTGGAGCTCTGAAGTCCTAAGCCCTGGAAGGAAGGAATATCTCCCTCCTCCAGGAAGTCCCTGGTAACTTTCTCCATCTCTGGCAGTAAGAAGAGGAGCTTATAATCCGGGGAGCAGCTCCGGCTGCCTGGCCTGGCTGGAGGGACCAGCTCAGACTGGGATGTGCTTCCGTCAGGATCAGAACTCGTCTCGAAGCTGAGGGGGCTTGTCCATGCCAAAGAAAGAGGACGACCTTCCCTGGAGGTCCCGCTCCCGCTTTACAAAGGCAGTAAAGGAGGAGACACAGTTGCCAATAAAGTGGTCAGCTTGGCCAAGGATGTACAGGTCAACCTGGGCCACCTCAGGGTTCAGGCTCACCACCTTCACCTGCAAGAGGAATGGAGAGGATGAAGATGCAGCGGCGAGAAGTGGTGCCGGCTGTGGCAGGCCCACCCCCGCCCTTTCCCCACCTCCAGCAGCCTCTGCTCCAAACACCTTCTGCACCTCTGTGCCTTTATTTGTGCTGTTCCCTTTGCCTGGAACGTCATTTCCCCACCCATTAAAGTCCTGACCAGACTTTCAAGGCTCAGCTCAAGTTCTACCATTTTCCAAAAGCCCTAGCTTGACAGGCTTCCTCCACCAAACCGGAGATCAGACCAAATAGGGCCCCACCCATGCAGTTTGGCCACTAGATGCCTCCCTCTCCCATATACCCCAACTCCAAGTCCTGTCCAATCTACCTGGGAGATGTTTCCCAAAGGTGAACCTTTGCCTGATGGAACTGCCACTCCCTGAGCCCTGCCACCACCATCTCTTGCATGATTGACTACACCAGCCTCCTCCTGGTTCCCTCACTGCCTCTCCTGGCCTGCTCACCAAAGGAATGGGCAAAGGACACTCACACACCTCTTCTTCCTGTCCTCAAACTGAACATTGCTGCCCCACTGCCCTTCAGGGCCCACAAGGCCCTACTTGGACCTCCTCTCACACCACCCCATCAACTCTTGGGTCCCTGTTCAGGACCTTTGCATATGCTGTGCCCTCTGTTTGGGAGTATAGCTCCTTTTACCTGGTTCACTCCTACATATCCTTCATTTCTCAGTTTAAGTGGCACCTCCTTTGGGAAGCCCTCCCTGGCCCAGGCGTAGGCCAGAGTCCTCTGCTCTACACTCTCACAGGACCTCATTGCTCCACTTTGGAGGACATGTCTCAATTTATTATTTTCACTCCTTGGTGATTCTCTGATTAGCATTATCTTCTGCACCTGATTGCAGGTGGGGCTGTGTTGGTTTGCTCTCTACTTCTGGCCAGGCCCAGCACAAAGCCTGCCCCAGTGAACATCTTTGAGCAGACGAGTGAATGAATGAAACTGCCTGGCTCCCCACCATGCTTCTGACACTCTGTTGTGGTACATGTTACAACTGTCTGCAAAGTCTCTCTTCCTGGGTCTAAAATGTGAGCCCTGGAGGGCAGGACCACATCTTATTTATCAGTATCCTGACTCAGCACTGGGCCAGCTTGATGGATGAATGAGGCTTAGTTGGGGAGTAGGATGGGACCTGAGCCCACAGAGAAGGGGGCTGAGGAGTGGGGAGGCTGAGAAGACTGGCACAGGAAGAGGAAATAGAAGATGGCCAGAAGAGGCTCAAGGCGTAACAAATACATCGACCTGAAAAACTCACAGAAATCTCCCTGGGACTCTCCAAATGCTTTGACTTGATACAGAAGCGTGTAGGGGGGCAGTGTGGGCACAGCTGGGGCTTAAAGTGCTTTGCTGTTAGACAGAGATTACTGATATAACAAAAATCATCATCTTGCTATTTGGACTGTGGCAAAGAAATTATGTTAGTTTGTTTAATCATGGCCAAAATCCCCCAAACAATTCCACCCACGCCCTGAAACTTACCCTGTCTCTGTCATGCCCACTATAATTAGCTCTGGGACATCTTGGGTAAATTCTATCCTTTCTTGAGACTTGGTTTTTTCAACTATGAAATGCAGGGGTTGGGCCAGGTGTCGTGGCACACGCTTATAATTCTAGCTACTTGGGAGGCTGAGGCAAGAGAAGTGCTTGAGCCTAGGAGTTTGGGAGCAGTCTGGACAATATTGTGAGATCCTGTCTGTTAAAACCAGCAGCACCCAAAGCCTGCCTCTTACAATCTGCACAGCATTTAGTTTTTACTCATTCAAGCAAGTCTTGCTGAATGCTTACTATTAACACAGTCATCTTACTGGTACATACTCAGTTCACTGATATAGTTAGCATTGACTAAGAACATTCTACCTTTTATTCATACTGAATACCTACTATTCACAGCTTCTTTAAGCATTTACTAAGCACAACAGATCCTTTCCTTTATTCATCAGCCACCTAGTCTACTGTTGATGTTATCTAACTTTATCGAGCACTTATTTTGTAGTAGGAACTGTTCTAATTTCTTTATACCTGATCTTCACAACTTCTCTATGACACGGGATCTATTCAGTCTCATTTTATGGATAAGGAAACAGAAGCACAGGGAGGTCAAAATAACTTCTGCAAGGCTGTACAGTGAGTAGAAGCCAAGTTCTCTGACTCCAGAGTCTATGATCTTGGCACCTCTGCTACACTGGCTCTCCCCCCAAGGGTTGCTACTTGCACCTTTATTGTCCTAGACACTGGTGATGATAAGGCAGGATCATAGCCCCCAGGGTTCAAAGCATCAGGCTAGGCACCAAGGAATGCAACAGTGATTCAGTCTCACATCCTGCCTTCAAGGAGCCCCAATTCATGGGAGGAAATAAGACCTGTTTCTCCACTAACCTCTCTAGTCTAGAAAGTGCCTCAAGAGAAGAAGAGATATAGGGCTGTGGAACTCCCAGGAGGGATACATGAGCTATAGCAGTGGAGGAAAATTGGAAAGACTCTGCAGAGGTGTTTTAGCTGGGGTGTGAAGGAAGGGCAGGAATAGGAGAGGAAATGGAGGAAATGTCCAGGCAAAAGGCTGATGGGGACTCACGAAGCGTGGAGTAGGGGCACCTTCTCTCCCTCCCTTCTCTCTGCATTCCAACCTGGGCCATGCATACCTTCCCTGTGAAGAGCTGCTGGATCTCGGGCACATAACTCTCAGAATCAGTGGCGATGTAGACTGACTGGGCGTTCAGTGCGCTCACCCAGAGCTTCAGGGCCCGCCTGATCTCACTCAGGTCTGGCAGGCACATAGTCATGGTGAGGGGGGCTGCTGTGCTGCGGCTGTAGCCCACACACTGTGGAGAGGCCATGAAGTGTGAGCCCGCGGTCCCGTCCTTCAGCATGGCACAGGCATTCTTCTACATAGAGGGAGGATAAGGTTAAATTCAGTAACTGCCCTGGAACCCCAGGAGTTAAGAATTGGCAAGTGGGAAAAGACAGGCTGTACTGTAGGAACCGACTACGTTTAAGGAAAGAAAACACTGGGGGAAGAGGGAAATGCACCAAAATTGTAACAGTGGTTATTTCCGGGTAGTTGGGATACTGGCTTTTTAGGAAAAAAAACATTTTTTTTTTCCTTTGGTCTAACTACATTATCTGGGATGTCCACTGCAGAATTGTGAACAGAGGCCGTGATAATGAGCTGTCTTATCTGATCCCTGCCCTCAATGGGAACACTTCTGATAGCTCCCCGTGAGGTACACTATTTGCTGTGGGTTTCGGAGAGATAGGCTTTATCAAGTTAAGTTGGGTCCACTCTATTCCTGGTTATGAGTTTTTATCAGAAATAGGTATTGACTTTTATTAAATGCTTTCCTGGTCTCTAACGAGATGATCATACAATTTTTCTTCTTTGGGCGTTAAAATAGTGAATTTTATCATATTCTTGGGATGGATTTTATTTGTTTTTTGTTTTTGTTTTTTTTGAGACAGTCTCACTATGTCACCTTTGGTAGAGTGCCATGGTATCACAGCTCACAGCAACCTCAAACACTTGGGCATAAGCGATTCTCTTGCCTCAGCCTCCCAAGTAGCTGGGACTACAGGCACCTGCCACAACGCCCAGCTATTTTTTTGTTGCAGTTGTCATTGTTGTTTATCAGGCCTTGAACCTGCCAGCCTTGCTGTATGTGGCTGGCGCCCTACTCACTGAGCTATAGGCACCAAGCTGACAGATTTTACTTGTGTTAGATATTCTTAAAATGTTATTGGATTTTTTTTTTTAACTTAGGATCTGTACATCTATGTGAGAATGGACCATACTTTTCTGCGTTGATCTTACCGAGTTTGGTATTAGTATTATGCCAGTGCTATAAGAAACAGCATCTTATATGTCTTGATGCTCTAGGAAAGTATAGATGGGAACTAACTACTCCTTCAATGTTTTGGCTGAAACCACTCACAAAACTGGACCTGGCTCCTTTTATTTGTGGAAGGAGGAAAGGGATAGAGGTTAGTGGGTAAAAGTGCAATTACCTCATTGACTGTGAGTGAATTTTAATTTCAGTTATTTTTCAAGTTTTTAACAATGTACTTCTCTAACATCTATGTATCTTCTTAGGTGAATTAAGGAGACTGCCTCTATTGGTTCTGCCATTTTCCCACAGAGGTGAAAACTCCATCTGATGAGGCATCTGCACATTTAACAGCCTCTAAATTCCGGGGAGATGACATCTTCACTTCTTGGGAGCTGCACCCAATCTCTATAGTTTGTTTTTCAACAGGGAGTCCACTAGCTAAATACTGAGCTGGGACAGAGACTCCTGGGCCTCTTTTTGGTTTGACAGACGAGGCCAAGTCAGATCCTTTGCTTTGGCTGGGACTTGGGGGCCAATCCCTCCAGGCACGGGCTCTGCTCAGGGCATGTCTGAGTCAACCAGTGAGAGGAAGGGGGAAGTTACCCAGTCGGAGCCAATGCGCAGATGAATGCCTACGTAGGGCCGGATGAGGTGGGCACGGATCTCAGCCTCTCCCGTCTTCACCATCTCGTCCGACCATACCATGTACTTCTGGAGGGGCCTGTGTTCCTCCAGGACAGGGAACTGGGCTGGGGCCCCTGGCAGAGCAAGCACTGGATGTTCCTTTGGAGAAAATCTAGGCATGAGAGGGAATGAGGGGAAGTCAGGCAGAGGGTGTACAGGCAGCCTGGCTGCTACCCCCACGGAAAAAGGAGGGTGTTGCACCATGCCCTAGAGACCCTGCAGAGGGGCCCCTGTAATATGCAAGAAGCACAAGAGGTTGTGAAATACCAACGGGTTGATAAGAAACCTTGGTGGCGGCAACAGGCACAATAAGCAATACTGTCCCGCCACCTGGAATTTACAACCCTTTTTGCTTGTTTAACAATTAAAAATTTACAGTAGAGCATTCCAACCTTTTGTATGTCATGCTGGCTTCCAATCTGTGGTGTAGTAATTCACTCCAGGGTGGGGTGTCTGGACCAAGCCTCTGCCCTTTTACCCATATGGCAGGACTGGGACGTGCAACTGCTTACAAAGCCGACAGCTGGGTCACACTCACAGAGACTGTGTACCCCGGATTGGATCATTCATTCAATATCTAGCAAATATTTACTGATTGCCTACTATGTGCTAGGGCCTAGGGGAGAATGAGACAGGCATAGTCTGTGCCCCACAGAATATACCAGAGGTCTGCAGATGCCCTTCCCAAGAATCTCCTTCCCCCTTAGTACACCATCCACCTTGCAATCATTTCATATTTGTCTTTTCTGTGGGACTCAGGCCTCTGAAGGCAGCACCTCCAGTGTGCCTAGAATAATATCTAGTACGCATAACAGCTCAGTAAATATTTGTTAACTGAATGAATGAGGAACAAACCTATGTTCCCTCTTCAGCTAACCCCAGACTACATTTCAGCAACATGACACATCTTGCTGTTCCATAAACTTGCAATTTGCATTGCAAACTCCAGATCTCTACATACTTCTTCCCTCTACCTGGAAAACTTGCCCTCTGCCAGTCAAGACCCTTTTCTTAAAATTATGAAATAGGCACAGCCATTCCGGAAAACAGTTTGGCAGTTAGGTTCTTATAAAACTAGGCATGCAATTACCATTTGACACAGTAATTGTACTCTTGGGCATTCATCCCAGAGAAATGAAAACTTAGATTTATACACAAACTTCTGCATAAATGTTTGTGGTAGCTTTATTCATAATAGCCCCAAACTGGGCCAGGCATGATGGCTCACGCCTGTATTCCTGGGCAGCTGAGGCAGGTTGATTGCTTGAGCTCAGGAGTTTGAGACGAGCCTAAGCAAGAGCAAGATCCCATCTCTACTAAAAATAGAAAAACTAGCCAGGCATTGTCGTGGGAGCCTATAGTCCTAGCTACTTGGGAGACTGAGGCAAGAGGATCGCTTCAGCCCAAGAATTTAAGGTTGCTGTAGGCAATGACACCACATCACTCTACTCGGATAATAGAGTGAAATTCTTATCTCAAAAACAAACAAACACAAACCAAAATTACAAAAACATGATATCCCCAAACTGGATACAGTGCAGATGCTGCTCAGCAAATAAATGGTTAAACAAACTGTGGTGCATTCACACCATGGAGTGTGAGTGCATAAAAAGGAATAAGCTATCAACACAGGCAACAACTTAGATATATCTCAAGGCAATAATCCTGAGTGAAAAATGCCAATCCTAAAAGTTTACGTACTGTAGGATTCCATTTCTTTTTTTTTTTCTTTCTTTTGAGACAGTCTCACTTTGTTGCCCCTTATAGAGTGCCCCAGCGTTATAGCTCACAGCAATCTCTAACTCTTGGGCTCAAGTGATTCTCTTGCCTCAACCTCCCAAGTAGCTGGGACAATAGGTGCCTGCCACAACGCCTGGCTATTTTTAGAAATGGGGTCTCTCTCTCTACCTCAGGCTGGTCTCGAACTTGTGAGCTTAGGTGATCCGCTCACATTGGCTGCCCAAAGTGCTGGGATTATAAGCACCCCTATGATTCTTTTTCTATAGCAACATTTTTGAAATGAAAAAATGAAGAATAGTACAGAAATGGAGAAGAGATCAGTAGTGGCCAGGGGTTAGGAATGAGTGCATGAATGTGTTTAGGTGTGCTTACAAACTGGTAACACAAAGATCCTTGTGATAATGGAACTGTTCTTAACTGGGATACTGTGGTGGTAGATACTTGAACCCACACCTGACAACAGTGCACAGAACTCTATGTGAACCAGCTTGATGAAAGTATTTCAAATTGTATATGAAAACACTACACTGTACCCCATGCATGCATAAATGTATACAGCTATCAATTAATAAAAAAAAATAGAAAAAAAACAGTGCACAGAACTAAATACGAATACAAACACACTAACACACACACACACACACAGATAAAGAAGTACAAGTAAAACTGAGATAATCTCAATAAGATAGGTGAAATATATCAACAACAAAGTCCTAGCTGTGATATTTTTTTAAAATTGTATATATTTAAGAAATGCAGTATGTTTTGATATACATGTACATAGTTAAATGATTTAAACAGCCATGCCCATTCATGGGGCTATTGAGAGGATTAATGGATTAATAAAAGCAAAGCATTTAGACCAGTGCTTGGCACATAGAAAACTTTCAGCAAATTCTGGTCATCATCATCATCATCATCTTGCAGGTAACCTAGGTCAACTTTTTAAAAATTCAACTTTATGTTTTAGAGATTTGTGAATAAACCACAATTCACCTGTCTATTCCCTCTTGTGGGATGATGGGGTTGTTCCCCTCTCTCCTCCACACAGCAGTGCTGCAACAGACACGCCACGCATTTTCCCACCCACCGCAGACATCTGGCTCAGCAAACACCTTCCAAACCTCCAAGACTGGTTGCCACTCCCAAGCCTGGGCTTCTTGGGGAGGGCTCCCGGTTTCACTTCTCCTTTGTTGCCCTCTGCACACGGTTGTGCTCTGCAGCCATTTTCCCTGCTCATGGGACTGTCAGCCGATGAGGGCAGGGACCCTACCAGCCTATTTGCCATTATTTCCGCCTGTGCCAAGGAACCAGCAAGCAAATGTTCCTTGCTGGCCTGGCATGTGTGACACTCATCTTGTTCGACGCTAATACTCTGTTCTTGTGTATGTACATGTAAATTGTTCATTGAGCCTTATTACATGACAGGTGATACTCCCAGTTGCTTTACATATATTAACTCAATTGATTTCCATAAGAGCTCTTGAGGTAAGTATCACTATTATTCTTATTTTGCAGATGAGGAAACTGAAGCACAGAGATGTTAAGTAACGTGCAAGGTCACACAGCTAGGAATTAGTGAAGCTGGGACTTGAGTCTAGGCATTATGCTCTAGAACCTGTGTTCTCACTCCTGTCTACCGTACCCCAGTCAAGGAGAACCTCAAAAGCTGTGGCTTATTCTTCTGATTCCCAGCCCCTAGTGTGGGTCTTAACATATAGTAGGTGCAATAAATATTTTTAGAATGAATGAATAAGAGGAATATGAAAATCTCATCAGAAAAATCAGATCAGGAGGGTCAGGGGTTAGAGAAGGAAGAAACTAAAATCTGAGCACCTACTATGGGCCAGGTTTTCAGCTAAGCGCCTTTCAGATGCTCTCTCACAGGATTTTAAAAGAAAAGTAAGAGGTATTATCCAAAAGAAGGGTATTCAGCATACTGAAAAGATATCTGCACTCCTGTGATTGCTGCAGCACTATTCACAATATTTGGAATTAACCTAAGTGTCCATTAACAAATGAATGGATAAAGAAAGTGAGGTACATACACACGATGGAATATTAAACAGCCATAAAAAGAATGAAATCCTACTGTTCGTAACAACATGGATGGAACTGGACGTTAACTGTGTTAAATGAAATAAGTCAAGCACAGAAAGACCAATCTTGCATTTTCCCACTCATGTATGGGAGCTAAATATTAAAAACAACTGATCCCATGGACACAGAGAGTGATGGTTACCAGAGGCTGGGAAGGGTAGCGGAAGTGATAAAGTGGGGCTGGTTAATGGGTACAAAAATATAGTTTATAGTTAGAATGAACAATATTTGATAGCACAACACAGTGACCATAATCAAGACGAAGTTAGGGTATACTGTAAAACAACTAAAAGAGGGCTGGAGGCCAGGAGCCATGGCTCGCGCCTTTAATCCTAGCACTACGGGAGGCTGAGGCAGATGCACTGCTTGAGCTCAGTAGTTCAAGAGCAGCCCGAGTAAGAATGAGATCCCTGTCTGTAAAAAAAAAAACAGAAAACCAGGGCAGCGCCTGTGGCTTAGTGAGTAGGGTGCCGGCCCCATATACCGAGGGTGGTGGGTTCAAAACCTGCCCTGGCCAAACTGCAACAAAAAAATAGCCGGACGTTGTGGTGGGTGCCTATAGTCCCAGCTACTTGGGAGGCTGATGCAGGAGAATCACCTAAGCCCAAGAGCTGGAGGTTGCTGTGAGCTGTGATGCTGCAGCATTCTACCGAGGGTGACAAAGTGAGACTCTGTCTCTAAAAAAAAAAAAAGACCTAGTTGGGTGTGGTGGCAGGCACCTGTAATCCCAGCTACCTGGGAGGCTGAGGCAAGAGAATTATTTGAGCCCAAGAGTTTGAGGTTGCTGTGAGCTATGTCAAAGCACTCTACCAAGGGCAATAAAGTGAGACTCTGTCTCAAAAAAAAAAAAAAAAAGGCCA